AATTTTTAATCTTTAAACTTTGAGATGAGAGATCATTCTTTGGAGTAAGATTCATTTTAAAAATTAAAGAATAGATTTCCGCAAAGTAAACTGGGAGAAATTCGCGCTGAACAAGATAAAACAAACTTAAATGATAGCACGAGCGTGATCGTTTAGCTCGTTGATTTTTCCGCTCGCCTACGGTACCATCGCGATATCCGAAGTGCGTTTCCGTACTCAAGGACGTTGTCCAAGGCGTTCCATCTCGCTGCAACGGATAATGCAACGTTTCAGGATAACCAGCGACCGCTGTTTATTTCTAACCGAGCTAGCCGGCGCAGGATACAAGTCGTCGTAGTAATCGCTTTCCTTCTCCTCCTCCGTTTTAGCCTTCTGACTCTTCTACCTCCGCCGCTTCTACCATTTCTCGCGACGTCGTTACGCCCCTCGTCGTCTCGTTCGCCTCTTTTAGTCCGCCTCTTTTCCGCGAACCTTCGATCCGATCTTTTTCTGTGTAACAAGATAGAAACGGCCACAATGACCGCGACAGAAAATCTCGCTATTCTTTATCGTATATGGATGAGGAAAAAACGACGAAATCGCGCTCGTTGAGAATCTAACAAGCAAGTAATTCCATTTTGATTAGTGTCCACAGGAAGGAAATTAATTACGGCGATAATAATCTTTTTTTTATTGTTTTTTTATTGATTACTAAAAATAACCCAGAGGCATATATTCTCACGAATACGTTCTGTTTGTCGTTGGATGAAGCAAAATTTTTCAAATTGAGATGCTTCATCTCTTTTAAAACAAGGAATAAGAAGGCAGAAAATTTGTTAAATTTTCATTAATTTCAATAAATATAATAAATTCGAGAATAGCTCTTAGATGAGTTACTTACACTCCAAGTCAAAAGTTTTGAAACATTTTTAAAAAGTTGATTTTTTTGAGATTATACTTATTTAAATATCCTTAATAAAGTGTTTTTTAATAATATTCTTCAGATCTAATAACAGTTATTGGATCTAAAGAATTATTATTTGAAAAACATATTATTATGAATATTTGAATAAGTAATTTAAAAAATGTGAATTTAAAAAAAATGTGTTCAAATCTTTGGCTTGGAGTGTATGTTAAATTTTTTACCTAATTGTTGGTAAAATTCTTTAAAACATGCACTGAAATTATATGTGATTTTCATATGCATGTAATCATATTTGAAATGTTAGAATATATGCTACATTATTTGTACAATTAAAAATGGATATATACATAACTTTTTAAAGCCTGATACTAATAAGATCACAAAAATATAATTAAGCAAAGACAAGTTAAGAAAAACGTTTCTTTCATGTAATATACGAGATCAGTCAATAAATAACCTTAATTTTGCCCTTGATAATAAAGATAATAAAAATTAAGATTATTCATTCAATCACGTATTATATGTCAAATATTTAAAAATTATTTTTGAACAAAATCATTCTGAATTTTTTAAGTTTTATTATTGCAATTTTTATATAAATTCGCAAATTGTAATTATATACAAATACATTTTAACATGCACATTCAATATTAAAACATTTGTTTTTTTTTCCATTTTTAATGTAATCTTTTTTTTCTAAATTTCTTTTCGATTCCACCTCAGAACATTTCATATATTTTCTTTCAAATATTTCGATTATTAATAAATTAGACGCACTTTGCAACTGAAGCTGCTTTTACGAGATTAAACACACATATGGGCTAGATATCTCATTGATTTATCAATTCTTCTAACTTTGAAAAATCCGTGGTTTATGAAAACATGGATGTCCAACACGCCGCAAGATAATTAATTAATTGTAAACCAGAATATCGCGCTTTCATGAACGAGTCCTCTCCTTGGTACTTGTCGCGTATGTGTCCGCCCAATCCCTGTACTATGTATTCGTTGCCTACGTACGAATACATAGTGCATGACAGCGGAGAAACAATAATAAGTCATACTTGCGGTTTGCGCGAAGCCACGTTATGCGAGAAGGTACCGTAATTGCGTTCTGTCAGCAGATAGATTTACGTTACCGCTTGAAGATATGCGTCTCTTCCAATGTCAGCTCGCTAATCAAGCGATCACCATATACTTCATCATGCACTAGCGAACTCCTTACGCAGTAGCATTTTCACTCCGTTTACCATTCTTGACGATAACTATCATTTATTCGATTAATCATTTACTTTTAAACGCGTTTAATTCTTTTTTTATTTGATTATATGAAAGTGAGAATTTAAAGATCTAAAGTTACCGGAAAAAAACAAAAATATAATTTTAAGATTTTGGAACATATTATTCTAAGCACAAGTCTCTCTCTTCCTTTATTCATTATTTACACTGCAGAGTGAAAAAATGATTGAAATGACCATAATTTAAATATAATTTCGTGTCATTTTCGCCAATTAAATATTTTTTTATGAAACTATAAAGATACTAACTAAGATTACTGACATTATAACAGTTATATAACTATGTATATATAGAGCTTTTAATCATAATTACTTACTCTTTACCGTACAATTATATTATCACAAATCGATATCACAAATATCAATCTCTTTTCTCTCAATGTGTTTAATTCCATAAAAATATCATACACGGTCTAACGATTTTTGCGTCATCAAATTTAATAAATTACAATAATTATACACTATACAATCAACATATATAGGCAGTTGAGTTAATAAATTTTGTTTTAATTTCAATGTCATTTTTTGAGTTTGCGTGAAAGTACAAAAAATGTGATACATAACTAGGAGAAAGTTTGTAAAAGATAAGATTTATTCTCTCATGCGTCTCAAAACCGATCGGACCAGACATAATTTGAATAACGGAGTAATATAAAAGTATGTGCGAAAGAACGATACGGTGAAAAGAATTCCAGTCCATGGAAATCGCACGCGATTAGATACAGTTTCCGTGTTACGTCGCTCCACGTGATGGACGTTGCTATTTATTTCGATATCGAGATTACCTCGAATTTCCATGAGAGAGAAAATAACGCCACAACGTTATTGTCTCCGTAACGGCTATTTCCATTTGCAGTCGCTTTTCTCGGATAAACACGGTAGTCGTCTCGGTACATTCATGCATTCTGGAAAATTTTCTCCGACGATAAACTCGGACAAATAATACAATCCTTACATAATTGAATTTCAAAACAGATAAATTCGAAAGACCGTAGAAGTTGTATATTTACAGATTAAAATATAACTTTTAAATTCATAAAACTCGATTGTTTCAAGTATCTAAGAGGTATTGCAGATAATTTTATTAACATTTTACAATCTCTTTTGAAATTACACACATATTTTTAGAACATTTCCGCATTAGAGATAAATATTATACAAATTATTAGCTTCAGGCCACGATAAATAATTATCCGCTCCTGAATCGAAGAGATTAAACAGATCGTAAAAGACGCAAAAGAAGTTTATATTTCATTAGGTAGGCGGTAAATGGATTAATAAATATTTATATGAGAGCACCATGAATAAATAATACGCTCATCTAAGTACGAAAAGTGTGAGCGCTGCATGACGGAAAACACTAACAAAGGAGTATAATTACGGTGCGTACGTGCAATTTTAATGATGTCATTGGAATGCGTCATCTCTACAAAGAATCGCATTATAACACTGTTATTCATAGTTAAGATTCTGTCCTGTTAATCATATCATATTTTGCGGTAATAATTTATTATTTCTTATTTCTCATAACTTATGTTACAAACGTTGAAAATTTTAAAGCTGAGAGTTTAATTAAAGCAGTTAAATACATCTGTACTGTCAATCAATTTCACATATCAGAAATCGCAATTGTATATAAAAAGAATGGTTTCGTTAAAGTATCCAAATATTTAAAAACTAGATATAAGTCTGAAAATAATTTTGCTAAATCATCAAAATAATTATGCTCACAATCAGTAAGCAAGAAACATTTTAAAACATTTCAACAACATCGCAGCAACGTTATAACGTCCAGGTTTTATGCTAGCTATGCTATGCTTATGCAGCTTATGTCACGTTGTGTGTGATGGTCCTTAAGCTGCAAAAAGTTTTGACATTCTAGTAATCAGCTTGAGCGTCCTACATAATTATTTAAATCGATGGTCCAAAATTATTTTCAGATCTAGCTAAATTTTTAGACATTTCAGCAAAAGCGTTCTTTCTATGTAGGCTTCAAAAATATTTACTGAATCTATGTCTCAATAAACCAATTTATTTCTTTAATATAGTATATCTTTTGGTTAAACAAATCCGCACCGCGAAACGGTATAACCGTTTGGATGAAAGCAACAGATTCCTATGAATAATTCATCGGACTGTTTACCGATGGTTGCGTGGGCAACTTCTCTTCCTTCTTGCTTTTTTGCAAGAGCTTTCGTATGGAGTGGCAAATCCCTTTCGTGAGACGCGTTACGCAAACGTGTGTCCGGAAAAATTGTGTTCGACGTGTTCGCCATTCCGACGCCGGTGTCGTGCGATGACGGAAACATTTAATTCGCGAATCTGTCATTTACGATTTATTAACGAAGGCATAAAAGGTTTACGAAAGCGTCTTGACACGGAATTGGACCTCCTTCCATTTTAATATCTTTCTACGGTTTTAAAAGCAGCGAAACTTGGTTGTCCAAACAAAATTTTACCGTTGTGAGGAAAATTTGTGCAACTGCATAAAAATTGTATCATAAATATTGTTCGTTTTTTTTACGCGTTTAGCATATAAAAGTTAGTTGATAGAATTCACACGTGCACGTTTTATGTCGCGTGATACGTTTTCCCTGCTTGCAGCTTTAAGGCTTTCATTATTATAATCGTTCGCTATCGCGTCTTTAGAAAATTGGATCATCTTGAGTAACACCGCATCGATAGGAGGTCAGCGTAAGGTATGCGTAAGGTCAGCGTAAGGTTTGATGCAGTGCACAAAGTGTTGGTAGTAGCAACGTAAATATGTATTATTTTCGGTTAAGTCTCTTTCTGTAGGACTATCTTGCATCTTTCTTACCACCTTTGTCATTTTTGCTATTATCAATAAAAGATCTATCATAAAAGTTGCAAGAAACGCGAACCTCTTGGGTATATTCGAAGTCTATAAGAGGATGATATTATGATCGAGATAATATTTAGAATGTGCGTGAAACGGGTTAACTTGAAACCGGTAAGATATATTAATCCTTTCAATAAGATCGATTCATTTGGTGATGGACATTGCGTGACGATTAACTGGAGTGCTTATATAATTTCACGTCCGGGAAATTGTCCCTGAAGAGGAACGATTTAAAATACCCAGGGGAAGAACAAAAGAACGGAGAAAATTTCCGGAGAAATGTAATTAATTTTCGCGTTACACTATGAAATTGAAGCCTCATAATGAGACTGTAATCATTAGCAGAAGACATGTGTTTGTCTTAATTCTTTGGTATCACTCTAGGTGTGTCAATAAACAGTTAATAATCTGCTACCTTAGTAACAGATTATTAACTGTTGATACATTAGATACATTGAAGTTATATTTGACCGATATTGGGCCGATATTGAGCCAACATTGTGACAATAAGTTGTGTTACTAGAGTATTCTCTTACTTTATATGTGCTATAACTTTTATCAATAAAAATACATACATTTGTTTGTTATATATATCCATTATATTGATGTTTGAGGTTTTAAAAAATTTTTGATAATATATTCATTTTTATGCCATATTTTTACACAATACTAGTGTTATTAATCAAACAATTGTTATAAAGAACTCTCAATATTAAAATAATAATGTAATAATAAAAATAAAGGCTAATAAGAGTAAGTGCTTTTATTAGAATTTATTTATATTATTAATATTATTATTTTAAGTATAATTAATAGTAAGTTGTTAAGCTTTGCGCATTAATTCGCACGAAATTGCCCCGTTTTTTAAAGAAATAGATCGATATTGTAAAAATTGGTGCGCTGCACGCGAATTGGATACCTGATCCGTCATAAGGAACTCTCCGAAGCCCGCCCTGTCCTCTAATAGGATGAAAATGCTGCTGCTGGTCCAGAGGCGGCGGCTGGGTACTTTGCAGCTGCAGAGGATGCTGCTGGGAAGATGGATAATGGGTGGAAGCATTTGTCGCGGCGGAGGCGCTTCCTGGTAGCTGCTGATACTGGCTACCTTGATACTGACGAGGATGATGCGGGTGATGGTGAGGATGAGGATGCGAGTACGGCGTGCACCAAGAGTAACACTGCTGCCAAGAGGCGGCCACGTCCGCACCGGCCATCCCCTCGCCATCCTCGTTCCCCATTCGCGTCCAGCCGCAGGAATCCATTTTGGATTCAACAGTAGCTTTTTTTCTTATTGGAAGTGCCGTACGATATATTGGGTCTGAATAGTTCTCACACAATCACTTGCTATTCAGAGCAAAATCGATGCCATGCCTGACTTCGATTTGCGTTCAGTAATTCGCTATTTCAAATTCCACCAAACTGATATCCATTAATTTCGGTGCTCATTATTCACTTTCCGAAATAATGGAATAATTTTTTTTTATTACTTAAGTAAAATACATCTACCTTTAATTGTTATTTATTTGTCCAGTATTCATTTGGTTCAATTTTGCATTGATGTTGCAAGAGTTAACATCAATTTTCAATGAGTTTGCATTGCGAAATAATTTGTTGATAATTTAACAACGATTTGCTTTTGTCGTTTCGACTGCAATTTTTGTCACAATACGTTGATAATTTTCTAAGGTTTCACCGATCACAAATTAGTAAATCATTTATTTTGTCCAGTTTTTGCATTCGCAGGTTATCACTGAATTGTCTACGAATTCTGTAGATGTGCATAAAAATTAACGAATTGGAAAAGCTCTTCGGTATAAATAGTCACACAAACAAACAAATATTTCATCCGATCTCGCGAACAATAGCAGAGTTTAAAAATATATAATAAATTAAATACTTTTTTTTTAAATTTTTTGTTCGTTTAATCAAATACATAAAAAAGCTAGAAGAGCAAAATTTTATATTTGCATAGTTTTTCTCGTTTGTGACCTATTTAAAATCTATAACGTCAACATCTTTTTAATATTTTTTTTATTTTGTAAAAAATTAATTTAAAAAAGTAATTTCTTATTTTCGTAAAAAAAATTCGAAAAGAAAAAAAATAATATCATATCATAATAGATAACATAATTAATTGTAAAATATTATTAACCTTTGCTTTTTTTAAATTATATATATGTTTATATTATATAAATAATATAACAATGCTAAATTAAAAAAGTTGATTACTCTACTTGAAATATAAAAAGCAAAAGTGTGAACGTATTTTATGATATGTTAATTATTAATCTTTTCCTGAAATATCATGTGACAGTAGTCAAAAAGTTACATCATAATGATGAAAATAAAGTGAGATAAAACATACATATCAATAAAATATACATATCTTTGATTTTTTTTACGTCAATGAAGTCTATAGAAATTATGAGTATTAGCTATTAAGGACACTGTATGACGAGAAATTATTATTATTATTACGAGTCTTGCATTAACATTTCGCATATATTTCATCATGTAAAAACAAAAGAGACACTCTAAATATTTCCTCAACATGAAATCTAAGCATTTATTTGCTACGAAATTTTTATGCTATTGCGCGATTGAGAATCCTGTAATTCAAATGTATTACGGGTGAGTGCAGCGTAAAGTGAGTAACACGAAAAAATTTTGAATAACATGGAAAGTCATGATGGCGAGGGAACAAGGGTTGCGTTCCGTCGTGACTGTCGATTGTCTCCGCGAAAAGAGGAGCTTTCGCTGCGATTTATTTCGATAATCCGCACAACCGCGGATTAAACTCGTCGCGTTGCTGCGCAAATCCGGCCGGCTTCGAAGTATCTAAATCTATCGATTGTCACTTTCGCGTCGCGGCTCGAATCGGTGAGATCGCGATCGCAATCTTGACGAATTACAGGTAGATGCACCATAATGTCCATAGGTGCGTCTCTTGGTATAAAATTTTACATGCGCGAATGCATCCCTTTCGTCTATCTATGAGACTCGCGGGCACGTCGTCGCGAGGATCGTCGATGCAATTTCGTACGCACGCAACCCGAAGAGACTCGGCGATGACTGAGACGAGCGAAAGCTTCTCCTCCACCTCGAAACGAAAGAGGGTTGAGGGCACGAGGCGCGTCGGTGGCCGATGTCGGGGGATGTGCCCGGGTCCACGTGCTTCGGCGGGCACGTTTTCCAGTCACGTGTTCGCCCACAACCCCATTCAAGTATTTCTGGAAAGAGCCGGTGTTAATTCCGAGCCGACAAATGAATACAGGTGAACGTTAACCAGGAATAAGGGCTCGTTTCCCCTTTTGATACGAATAGCACTGGTCATATCATAATCATCCAGCGAGATCATAATCGCGCTGGATACGATGATATCTCTCTAATTGTCAAATACCTTCTTATTTCTTTAGAAACGATATTTTAAATATTTATAAGTGGAAATTAGATCGACTAGAATGAATCAAATAAGAGAAAAAATTATATTTTTAGACCGAAACAGATTTTGACTTATAATAAATAATAATAATATAAATGTTAAAATGGCTCAATTAGAATAAATCAATAAATAAAAGAAGGGCAACGAGCCAATTATAATGTAAGATATTTAATAATTGTATATATACAAACGTTTCGATACCGATCGGGTCATTTTCAATGTAAAACAACAAACACTCTTACATACATTATCTGAAAATTCGGTCAAATTATAATGTCCAGTGAAAAGTTCGGTTGTATTCATAAAATGCGGTCCATATGTAAAACTATCAAAAGAGATCACATCTCACTTTTCACAATTCTTATATTGTCTTAATGATGTAAAATAGACGACGATTACATCATTAAGACAATATAAGAATTGTGAAAAGTGATGGTTTGTATATATACGATTATTAAATATCTTACATTATAATTGGCTCGTTGCCCTTCTTTTATTTATTGATAAATAATAATATTCATGTAAACTCACAAATATATTTTTCAATTGCGATATTTTAAAGACAGTCTTGTGATCATAAGTGTCCTCTCTGAAAGGATTTTAATAACAAACAGAAAATATTTTTGACGTACTTAATCTTGTTGAAACCTTATGCAACATAAAAATGAAACGACATTAAAATTAGATCAATAATTCTTATATTCTCCTCCTAGAACTAAATAAAATTAACTTATTATTTTGAGACAAAAGTAACACATATAAATTTAAGTCTATATAAATTCTTACGTTAAAATAAATCTTTATTCAATGTTGTAACGCATGATGCTGAAGTTTGGCACGAAACCGATGTCCAAGATCATTTTATTTCATGCAAAGATATAAGAATTTTTATTTAAGAATAAAATATTCCTCTGTTAACAATAAATATAATTATCCCTATATCGATTCTATTTTATGATAGATCGAAGAGTAATAGCATTGGATTCAAAAATCTTTTCAATGTATAAAGCACCCTCAATTTATTGAAAAAAGTGGTAATAAAAGCCAAAGGAAGATTAACAAAATATTAAAATGGTTAAAAATAAATATTATTCTTCAATAAAACTTCTTAATTTTCTAAGAAGATATAGAACGTTTACGTAAATTTGTGGAGGTGCTTTATACCTAATTGTGGCTAAGGCTATACGTAATGAAATTAGACTTGGAACTTCTAAAATTTGTAGGAAAATCCACAAAAGATGACTTCGTCGCGCGATCCTGCCGCGGTCATTGATAGCCGATGTGACGAAAATAAACGTCATCGAATCGCTTCATACGTATACGGAAAACTATTCGCATACTTCCATTTATGTAAAATCGGTGCAACGTAGTGTTGCGTAATGTACGTACATATCGGTGTATCGATAATCCGCGCATGAGATTACTTCAATGCATGACAGTTTATCGCCGGACACGTTGAGTTGTCGCAGGTCAGGTCATTTCAGGTCAACGTACTCATACATTCGTTCGTGCATACGTCGTCTCCGGAATTTCTCCCGCTTCCGTAACGTCGTCTTATTCTTTTCACCTGACACTGCATTTGCATCGCGCCAGCGTCGACTGTTCATAGATAAGCATCGTGCATTCAGTAGTCAGTGATAAACATCGAGTAGAAAACAGGATTCCCGCAAATTCGTACGCATTGATTTCCAATGAGATTTTTCATTAATTCGAAATTTTCAACACAGATAGATTATGAGTTATGCACAATTAATATGCAATATTTTTCTCAATTAATTTACTCCTGCATAAATAAAATTATAATTTGAAGATTAATTATCAAAATATTTATCTCAAAAATGGAGAAAAAGATCACATAAAGTTTCCATGACAATAAAATCGATCAACTCGGAAATTCATAATTTATTTTTCACAATTCAGATTTATATTTCATAATTCAATATTAATTATTTATTCCAAACTCATAATTTATTATCCTTCAATAAATATAGCTGTGATCTTCATTTAGCTTGCTCGAAGATTCTGTAGTATAACGCTTTACCTGCAGCCCCATCGAATTTAGCATTAAATACAAATACGGGTGTTTATTATCAGCTGTCTGAACCGTTAGGTTAATAAGCATTCTTCTTATTGCCCATAACCGACTTGATCCATCAACTGCAGCAATGCTGGGCTACCTATGGACGTCGCGCGCACATCCCTTTGTATTTTCCGGTCGAGCGACGATCGTATCCCGGTAGATGTTCAATGCTTAGACCCCGACATCGGCATAGGACTCTGACTCTATCGTGCGTGATGCCGCATTTGTTTCTTCTCCGATCGATGATTGAGGCAGATGGGTCGGATGGGCCATCGTCTGCCATGCGACAGATAAAAGCCTCCCTCGCTCCTCCCGAACGGGACGATTAAAATGTAAATTGATCTGGCGATTCCCCATGGCCCGTCCATCTCCGCCACGCATGAGATAGTTCTTTCGACGCTTCTATCGTTGTCGCTATATCGCGACTCGCAGAACAATTCGCCTTTGCGTCGCAACTTGTCGCGTATTGGAATTATGGGGTTAATTATAGAGAGGGACTATTTGATTCTTAGATCTTACACAGATAAATTATTAGAATGCATGTTTGTGATTGCGAAAAGAAATTTCCTTTAGAAAAACGATCAAAAAGCTCATCGTTAAATTAGTCCTCTAGATTGAGAAAAAAGTGTTTAGTATTTGTGATTATAATTGCATAGTGAAGTAATTATAGTCTATTAATTTTTATAGTTATTACTTATTGTAATATTAACAATAATATATAATATATAATTATATTTATAGTTCTACATATTAAAAAGCTTATATGGTTGTCCTCGAAAACGACTATAAAATTATTCTTTTTAATATTTAGAACTATAGATTCCATTGTCATTACTAAAAT